CCCCAAAACCCCAAAACCCCAAAACCCCAAAACCCCAAATCTTAAACACAGATTTAAAATTTAAAAATAATTTAAATATGAGCCAACCCCGGTATGACATGAGCAGCAAGGCTCTGTCAGTCCCAAAATTATCCAGTGCGATGAGGAAGATTCCAAAAGGACCGAACAAAAAGTAAGTCGCAGGTCTTTGGAGAGGTTATGTCTGAAATTTACTCTAGAAGTATGATGAAAAGAAGCGGAACCCGCAAAACAATTACAAACAAAGCAAGCAATCTAGACTCAGCTACTAAGCTTACAGTTCATAGCTCTCGCAACTGTAGCAGCAAGAGATTTAGGACTATTAGTTCCAAGAAGAAATCTAAGAGTAAGACCTTGTTAGTGAGACTTATAGAGAGATGCCGAGGAGGGAGCGACTACAAAACTCAAAAGAGGTATATAGCTCTTACCTTTACTTTAGAGAGATGATGAAATCTATACAAAACTCAGACAGCTTCGCTCTCAATGGAAGCTGTTCAAGCAAAACTAAGACAAATTATTCAAAAATCGATAATGACTCTTTCAAAAATAACTCTGCTGAGTTGATAAATGCTCATGGGATTCCTATGCACAATCTAAGAGAGCTAAGTTTGACTGATAATGGCTCTTTGAACAATGTTAGCAGGGATGTCAGAGTTCTTGATACATCCAAAGATATCAGCATCAACGATTGTATCAAATTTTCAGATCCAAATTTATCTTCAATTGAGCAACCTAATACTTTGAACATTCAGAATCAAGCAAATATGTTCAGGAATGCCCATATGATTGGCTCTAGTCAACAAGTCAGGGATACTTTAGAGAAAGTTAATAATACTTATACATATGATAGCAATCAGAGTTTGGGAGTCTGCTCTTCCGGAACTGCACAAAACCCAATTAGGATAGAAGATATCCCCAGCTCTGGCGGAAAATTAAACAACACAGGGAAATTTGCTATGATCAACCCCTTAATGGAAGAAGCAGAGCTCAAGCTAGGCAGGCCTCTCTTAGATGATGCCAAAAATGTGCTTAATGCCTTTAATAAAACAATGGGCTCCATAAATGATCTGCTTTGATCACGATGGGAAGACTTGCGCCAAAAGTTCATAAGCACTTGTAATAATTTCCAGACAGACGAAATCATCAACATTATGCTTGATGATACAGAATCACAAAAGTACGTTGCACAAAGGATGGAGGAGATTCTTTCAGAAGATTGGGCTGCTGAGCGAGAAGCGACCATAAACCAGCTCACGAAACAAATAGGCATGCTTGAGATGAAGAACAACTTATTTTCCTCACAATTTGATCCTAAGAATTGATCTATATCTGAGGCTAACAAGATGAAAGTACTTCAAGATTTGCTAGATAGCAAGCACAGTGAGGTAAATTCTCTTCAGAAGAACCTGAGCATTAAAAACAAAGAGATATCCATGCTCAGGGCATACCAAGAAGGCAGATCCAAGAAGGCAGGAAGCACTCAAGAGTCTCTAAACCTAGGTAATATCCTCCCTGATTTAGAATAGAGTACAAAAGGATGTACGAAAGTGTTATAGCTGAAAAAGAACAGCTCCAGAATCTTGTAACAAGTCTACAGAAAGAAGTTGGCCAGAGAGAACATTCCCTACAAAGATTTGAGGTATTTCAGTCCTTAATATTTTAGCAACGTGAAAAAGAATTGAGAGAGAGTATCAGCAAGCTTGAGTCTAAAGTTAATGAGCTGACTAAAACTAATGTAACTCCTATAAACTCTGAAAGTGCAATCCAAATGTTCCATAAAAGAATTAGACAACTTGAAGAAGATAGAGACAACAATTCTGATGAAGAAAAAGAACTTGCTAGGACTAAAAACAAAGAAGAAACAGAAAATTACATCAAAAAGCTTAAAAATACTCTAAAAATCTACAAATCTCGCAGTAAAGACTTTGAAAAACGAAGGTACGTCCCCTTATAACCTTCAGCATCGAACTTGAGTGCATAAACATCGCTCTCCAAAAAGAGCTCTCTTCTGCCCAAGCCTCCGCTCAGAAAGTCCAGTCACTTGAGTCCCAATTGTCCGAGCTGCAGCAGTCTCATCTGCTTCAGACAGAGCAATTTAAGCAATCGACTAAAGACCTTCTCCGTAAAAAGAAGCAGAAGTACATAACCAAAATCAAAAACCTCGAACAAAAGTTCATAGATCTCTGTGAAGCCCAGATGAGTTCCATTCAAGGTAAGTTTCAGAGCCTAATAGTAGAAAATCTTAAGAACAAAACTGAGCACGAGCTGGGGTCAGAACTTATGAAGAAAGAACTTGAGCTTCAAAGCTTACAACAAAGAGTCGATGAAGAGTACATATTAGTGACAGAGCATGAAGAAATAGTCAATGACCTTTTTGAGAAAGAGAAAGATAAGCGCCAAACAGAGATAGAACAACTTTGTGATAATTTTGAGAAGGAGTTCATTCAAGCTCAAGAAGTCACTGAAGAAGAAAGGATTAAGCCACTTGAGCAACAAGTCAAAGAAGAAAGAGAGCACAGAGACTGACTGGATAAAAGGGTTCTACAGTTAGAAACAGAACTAGCTGTTTGAAAAGAGAATTTAAATGATGTCAAAGCTGAAAATTCCAGATGAGCAGGCGACCTTTCAAAGGCATACCAAGCTAATTCAGTAGAGATTTCAAATTATGAAGCTGACATTAGTAAATTACATCATAAATTGACTGACAAAGAGAAGGAATTGCATAAACTTGAGATGAAAGTTGAGAAATATCAGACTGCTACTACTGAAACTGAGAAATCTACCAGGAATAAGATCCTATTACTCGAAAATACAGTTTCCTCAATGAAGTCGAAGCATAAGCAAGCAGAGGAATCTTTGCTTACAAAGAACACTGATTTAACTCAACAAGTTCTTGCTTTGAAGGATGAATTATCAAATTACGAAAGAGAGCTTGACAAAAATAGAGCTGAATTTGATACTCTTATTGAAAAATATGAAGACCTAAGCACCTCCCATCAATGCTTAGCCAAAGAAAATAATGATGCTGAGGAGTACATAACTTCCTTAAAATCCCAGCTCCAAAAATTTAAGACAAACAGAAGGAACCTAGCCAAGGATATTAAGCAAGCAGTTGGTGTAAAATGTACCCAAATGAGGGAAGAACTAACTTTCTTAAAGAAGCTTGTGTCTGAAGAGATTAAATTCATGTACAAATATGCTGACGGAAACTACAATGATGTCTGTAACGAGGTCAAGAAGATGATCAACCACAACCAAGAAGTCTATCTCAACAACACTAAGACCATCGAGCTTACTAAAGAGAAGCAATATCAATCCGAAATTCAGCAGATGAAGCAAGATTTTGTAGAGAAACTTCATGAACTCAATGATAAATGTGATGAAGCCCAGGTCAAAGAGATCACTCTGAAGAAGTCTCTTGATGAACAGAAAGCTGATAATACAGAGCTGGCTAACCAAGTTGAAGACCTTAAGTCAATAGTCTCAATTAAAGAGCTCAGTATGGAGAAACTTAAAGCTAAAATGAAGACCTGTGAAGATATCCTGGAGAGATACTTTGCAAGCATTCCTCTTGAGAATACCTCTCTTGAAGACTTCTCCAATTTTGATCTGAGTGTTAAGCTTACTAAGCTGAATGATATGACGAAGCAGCTTATAGAGAAGCATAAACAAGAGATGGATACTCTGAATCACCAAAACCTCGACCAGCTTGAGTCAACAAAGCAGTCATATGAACAGAGGATTGAGTCTTTATACATCGAATCAGAGACAAAAGACACCCAAATCTCTGATTTGAAAGACACGAATCTTGACTTATCCCAATCATTAGCCCATTTAGAGGAGCAGATGTCATCAGCTTACGACCAAATTTCCAAAATTCTACTGAGTCACAACATAGGGCCGAACTCTGAAGAGAGAATAGATGATAAGATTTACTCTCTAAGTCTTATTATAATCGAGAAAGAGCAGGCCCTCCAAAAATACAAAGAGATGAACTCCCAGAAGGAAGAGGAAATCACAAAGCTTACACAGAGAAGTCAGAAGATCATCCAGGAAAGCCTCCGCAGGGAAGAGATTATCAAAGGTAAGTTCTATATGGGATAAGCCTCTCATTGGGTTTAGAAAATACACAGAAAGTACTCCAGGAAAGCAACAATTTGTTGATGAATAAGAGACAAATGAACGACGAAAACACAAAATCCCTCCAGAGGCTGCTGAATAAGCTCGAAATTAAGCAGAATGAAAGGTCCTTGGAGAGGTCAAGTTTTGATAGAAGGGATAGAATGTCCCCAATAAGGTAAAAAAAGGTATAATTTTGTAGAAGTAAAGCAAGTATGGAACTAATAGATGAAATCAAAAAGGCTGTCACCCCAAATCTTCCAAGGGGGAAGTCTATTCTCCAAGATAGCCCTGGATTCGGTTCCTTCCCACCGCCTCCAATCACCGGTAAGGAGAATATATCCAAAATGAACCTGAGTGAGCTAAATTCTGAGAAATAATTCAACTGATCCTATATCCACAGGGGTTTTGGGGTTTTGGGGTTTTGGGGTTTTGGGGTTTTGGGG